AAAAAAAACAAAGGTATAACTGTTGTGCACAGTTGTAGGCTGTAAGAGGCAACATTTTGGAAGTGTCTGCAATTCTTGTGTAATCCAGTTGGACTTATTGGCCTTCAGCTTCACCTAAGCATAAGCTTCAGTAAATCCTGCTGAACTTATTTGCCTTCAGCTTCACCTAACATAAGCTTCAGTAAATTCTGTCGAACTTATTTGCCCTCAGCCTCACTTGAGCATAAGCTTCAGTAAATTCTGTCGAACTTATTTGCCCTCAGCCTCACCTGAGCATAAGCTTCATTGATTTTGCTTTTTTCCCATTTGTTCACAAATTTAGGTTTGTTTTAACTCACTTTTCTTTGTAGTCCCTGTTGGTTTACTTTCCTCTTTATTGCCATCTGCTGTTCTCGCTTCGAAGTCCTGACTATCAACCTACTTCTCCTCTTGTATCCTGGCTCCAATCCCTGCCTCCAGAGCCACATCGGGGCACCCACCACCTCGAGCCACTGTCACCGTTTATCGTCCTGAACTCCTAACCAGCAACTTCATCCCTCCCCACTATCTCGGCCTCAATCTCGCCTTCTGAGCTGTATTTGGGCAACTCAACACCACTACCCAGCGCGTCTGGCAAAGTTCCAGTGAGCGACGCCGCGGAATAGTATTGGCAGAGATGTTAGAGCAAAGCGCTGGAAGGCTCGAGCACCATAGATTACCAGTCGAGCCGAGCCGATCCGAGCCGAGATTTAGTAACTGCGAGGGAAACGGAGGCGCATGCATGCCTTTGCAGATTGTCAGGGTGCTGTGTTGGGGTTTCCAGGAATGGCTTAGCAATACGCGGGGTGCAAAATTACTGTTAGTAGGTTAACGGACTGGACAAATGCCAAGAGTGTATTTGCCGGATTTCTCACGCGTTGCCTTGATCAAGGGATGCTCCCCATCCTGTGTTTACTTCTGTAGGGTACCTATTCCCCATCCTTTTTCCCCGTTTTCAGCAACTTGTCCCTCCAGCCTCTGGTGCTACCCGCTAATAACGTGGAGATGACGAAAACGGGGTTTCCAGGTGTGGAACTGCAGTCCTCAGGAACAGTGGGAGCCCTGTTGTCTGTTCTCTTCCTTCTGCGCGCGGCCCTTTCCCGCATTGGGTTTAGGGCTATGTATGTGCGCAGACGCTGATCAGCATGTTAAATTACATATCCTAATTGCACAGGTTCCCTTCTAGCGCACGATCCATCGCCTGAGGAGTGGACGTTGGCTTGTTGTGGACGAATGATGCAGCAGGAGCAGCAGCGGCAGGAGCAGCAGGAGCAGTGGCCCAGCGTAAAACTAAAAGTTAGTTGTTACTTGGTTCGCAACTACCGGTACGGTGTGGTATATTATTCTTGTTTCAGGTGCTTTGTTTGCATGGATATCAACAGAATGCAGAAATATTCCGCGAAAAATCGGGCAGCTTTCGTAGTTCGCTGAAAAAATATTTCGATTTTGGTAAGCGGTTGCATGTTGTAACTTTCTTTTTGGCTCTTCATTTTTATAGCACTCTTTGTTTGCCGTGATACTTGCCACCTCTTTCCGTCTCAATCTCCTGTTATTTTGAGAGAAGAGGGAGAAGGAGGATTCTGCTGACTATTGCTTTTAAGGGCACTTATTCTAATATTTTGATCTGTTCTGCCTCTCCTTAGGTTTAGCCCAGCTGGCAGTTTCTCCATTCTTCTCTGTTTTGAGCTTCTCTCAGTTGTTCAAGGACCCACTAGAGCTGCCGTGGATCCGGGTTTCAACTGAACATTACTTTGTGACTTTCGTGTATAACTGTTTCGCAAAAAAAGTTGCTGATCCTGCCTTCCCCGCTTCTTTTGGACAAAGAAGTTGATTATCTCTGACACATCCATTTTTTACGGGGAGAGGCGGGCACTGTTTCTCCCTTGCTATCCAGCAAAATAGACAATTACCAAAACTCGGCTCGGCCCGGCCGGCGTCACATACGATTTGCGAATTTTTTCTCCTCGTGGAGGGTATGACTACCTTACGGCAAGTAGCAGAAGGTAGAATGGGAAGAAGTGTGCTACGGGTTTCCTTTGGGACAGAAAAGGGGTTGGGGAAATTGGATTCATGGGCTGGGAAGGTTGCCTAGGCCAAGTAAGGGAGAAGGGGATAAGGGGGAGGAGAGTTTCCCTCCTCTCCACCCAAACAATAAAAAAGTAAAAGCAAGAGAAAAAGTAAAAGCAAAAAAGCAAACAAACAAAAAACCACCATTAATAGGGGACTTCTCCATCTATAAAATTGATGCTTAGGTACAGCTAAAAGCGAATCAGGTGAAGCTGTGTCGGTAAAGACGAGAACTTTCATCTTTACCTAAGCATCGTCTTCATAAATACCGAAGTCCGCAACTGGAAACAAGCTTTAAAAAAAACTTGGTTATCAGCAAAGAAATCCCCCATTCATGGAAGTGATGCTTAGGTAAAGCTGAGAGCTCTCAACTTTAACTAAGCATCAACTTCCTCATTAGCGCCCTTGTTCTCCTCCATTCTGCCCCAATCCGTACACCCGGAGCTGCATCAGGGTATCCGTCCACCACCACCTCTCTCCTCTACTCAGCTGATCCCCAACCACGCGTCTCAGGCACGGTGCGCTGAGTAGCACTACCCTGGCAAAGTGTCAAGCGGAATTGGCGAGCCTCGCGCGAAATACCGTTAGCAAAGATGCTACAGTACCGGCCGGGCCGAACCGAGCCGAGTTGCACTAATTGCTTAGTTTTTGTGATTGCCCACAAAACGCGATCCTCTAAAAGCATTTTTTTGCGCATGTTCCTTCCATTTTATTGATGGAAACCTTTTTTATTTTATTATTAATGTAGGGGGAATCCTACGCTGTCAGTGTCTCGGTGGAGAAAGCTCATATCTTCGAACGCGTCGCTTCTGTTCTATGAATAATGGAATTTTTCGTGGGCGGTTGTACTGTCTTGCTTGCTTTCAGTGTTCATGAACGCTCCGCATGCAGTTGAGATGCAGCAGGCAGTTGGCGATAGTGTTCCATCGGGTACAGTATGTTTTTCTCTTCAACTTATTCATTTCTCGTCTAAACATTGCTTTTAAAAGTGTGAGATAGCTGGTGTTCACACTGCAGCGTTCAGAAATTGGGACATACCAACGCTGCATTGCATTCTGCAGTCACTGAGAACATTTGAATACCATCACAGTTCCAGCCCTGACTGGGAAAGGGTACCGTGGTGTTTTGTGCAGGATAGGAACAGCGGTGTCCCCCTTAGAACAGCCATGGCACCTGCCTCCTAAGACCAGCTGCGTAATCCACATCTCGGAATAACCACGGAGCCCACTTTCCGAAACAGTAGTTGGGTTGGATAGCAACGTAAACCTGTCAAATTCAGCCTTATGCTAGGAGCATTCTTTGAAAATTCAGCCTCCCAGCTTTGCACTCTCAGACTGGAATCGCGGTGCTGCTCAAAATGCATGCCGGACATGATACAACTTCTCTTTAAATCAAAATGAGGCTTCTAATGTGTATTAAGTACATCATTTTCCTCGGCGCCCAGTGAGTGAAGTTTTTTTTTTTCTTACTGATGCTACTTTGATACGCGATATACTGCATATCAGAACTCACTTTTGAGCGGTTTTTCATATTTTATTCGCTAATTTTTATGCCTTTTGTGCTGCAGCAGTTGCACAAGACGCATTTTGTCGTGACCCTCTTTGTGTGTGTGTTCCGACTGCATTTTATTCGGGGGTTTCAAGACGGGAACCTGAGAAGCTAGGAAGCTGAAACTTTAAGGGGAACCCCGTATCCGCGTGTGATCTCGCAAACCCAAATTCAGCGTGCGTGCGCACCTAGGCTTCACGTACGGCCATGTGAAAGTTTTGGCCCTAAATTAACTCGACAAGTACGGAAGGTAGGAAGTTGAAATTCTAGGAGAATTCTGATTGCCCTCGTATAATCCCTCATATGCTAATTCAGCTTCCTCGCATGCATGGATCTCACGTAGGGACAAGTGAAATTTTTGAACACCAAAATTAATAACTGTGGGACAGTGAAAGTTGGGAAGCTGAAACTTCAAAATAATGCTCGTGCCTATATATAAATTCAGTCTATGCGCACGCCTAAGTCCTGGACATAGGAATGCGAAGGTTTTGGCGCCAAAATTAATAGGTCAAAAATCAGAAGAATGGAATTTTAGGACAATGCTCCCTGCCCGCGTATAATTTCTCGCGCATGCCTAAGTCGCATGTGTGAACAAGTGAATGTTTTGGCGTCAAAATTAATAACCCAGGAATCGCAGAAGCTGGAAGGTTAGAATTTTGAGTGGGTATTCCCTGCCGGCCTACGACCTCGTAACCTTGAAATCAGCTCCCGCGTGGCTGGATCTAGAGACATGTGAAATTTTTGGCGCCAAAATTAACTCAGGGACCAGGAAAGCTACGAAGCTAATATTTCAGAATAATGTTCTCTCCTGCATGTAAGTTCAGTTCTTGTGCGCGCCTAAGTCTCCGGTATGGATATGTGAAAATTTTGGCACCAGTATTAAGAACTCGGGAACAAAAAGTACTAAAATTGTGGAACTTTTGGCGCCAGTGCAATGTATCAGACAGTAATGCAGTGTGTACATTTAGTTCCTCTGAACAGAGTTGCACAAGCATCAGCTGGATAGGGCTGCAAAACCGTCCGCCGGACAGATGCACAACCATTTGCTGGACAGAGTTGCACAAAACGCATGATCGCACGAGCTACCTGGTGCGCGCATGTATTTCATATTTTATTCGCTCAGAATGATAAAGCGCTCGTTAGTAGTTATATGAACAAAGTTTTTGTGCGCTGAGAATGTAGTCGGTGGTTTTGAATGTCTGCCTGAGAGAGAACTAAACTGTTTCATTTGG